ACGTTGCAAACTTACTGCGGTATTCCACAGTCTAACGGGTTCACCTCTGAAATTTACTGTAATTAATGAAGTGAAGGACTTTCAATCTGTCTTCCTTCCTATCTGGTAATTTCCTTAATATTATATATGAAACACCATGTTCAGCAATATCTAATCATAGATGTAACTAGTTGACCGAACAGTCTCATCTACATATATATCTATATGCAATGTTATTCTAAGGTTCCGTACACACTTGCACAATCCAACCGCTTCGTTACGTAAACTAACCTCTTTTATTCAGAATGAAGTTAGTCGTTAACGTTAGTTACCTACATGTATCGAATGATGCAGAATAACCGCATCTTCCTGGATGAATAAGCAGTAAAATAACTGTAACGATTCTGATTTACAAGTTCAAAACTACAATTCTGTCATTTTGTTATTATCCAAACGAGTGAAGTTAGTCAATAATCAAATCGTACTGTCAACTACCCTTTGCCATGAGATAACATTCGCCTTTCTTAAACGCGTTGTAAAGACGTTAAAAGTGGGTCTTAGCCCTTATATTTTGCAACTTTCATACCTTAAACGTTCATGCCTTATTTAATGATGTTCTGTTAAAAAGTAACGATAATATTACAAGTTGTAACGCCTTTTTTAGAATGGGAATTTAAACAAAATTTAGTAGGTTACGAATTTAATCACAACTGGCGTATATGTAAATATATGTCACTATTATATATTATTATTAGCGATTAATTATGTTGTTTATTGTACTAAACAATGCAACGATAGACAGAGGAATGAATAGTGTTTAATATTCACTTAATTTCAAAAGATAGTGATTAATATAACGTTAAAGTTCTGTAAGAAATTCTGACCCATATTAATATCATTTAACGATAGATGTAATGAGCAACAAAACCCAACCTAACCAAGATAATTTGACAGCTGCTACAGACCATTCTAAAAGCATTAGCTCCGAAGCCAACTGAGCATAAAAGAGATAATAAATATTTATTTTTGCTAAATATGTTTATCTTAATACAAACAGATTCAAACTAATAATTAATTATCTGTGCGTTTTAGAAAATACTACAAATGGCGCAGTAAACGCCATCTGTAGCACGATGCTACATTTTGGTCTGTGTTCTGTCGGAGCTGTCGGCGACGCGCTGATGAGATCCAAAAAGATCGAAATCGCGATTCGCGTCTGGCAGTTTCGACAGAATACAGACCACTTCGAATTATTTTATTCAATTAATTATCTGTTGAGTATTTTTTTAAGATATATGTATATATCAAGCATGATACGATTGTTTACCATGGATGTGCATCAAAAATTTCGTACTCTCTTTCACCCTACTACAATGAGTTCCTCATCCCGCTGAACTAGGTTAATGTGGTTGAATACTTGAAGACTTCTTTCTATCAAGGGCGCGTATTTCTCGAGAGACGTACTCCTATAAATTTTTAACGCGTCAGTTCTATATAGCAAACAGCCCTTTTTTACCGAACATTGTTTACTTTCATCTACCATCTGACGCTTGAAAAACCGCCAGAGATTCAAACAAACACGATCTAACATAAGGAAATGATTTCACTTTATAACCACATTTTAATCGGAAGTGGGAGGAAATGAAACAAATGCCTTTTGGGACTCCAACTCTACTTAAGACGAAAATTAATTCTGCTTTAGTATTCGTCCGTCTGTTTGTATTTATGTTACATTTGATTACCTCAAATTATAATGATGGCAGCAGCTTCAAGGAGACGATAGAAAGTATGCACTTTGCTAGTATGAATTACAGATGAAATTAAACAGAAGCATTAATTAAAAAAAGAAATAAAAAAAGGACAAATAGACTAGTGAATGACACTAAAAGGGTTCCGTTTTTAATTCGGGCGTACGGAACCCTAAAAGCGAGTGGAAATTTGAATGGGTTTAAAGGGATGTTATATAATATGTATACAAAAGCTCAGACTAGGTTTAAGTCATACCTCTTCATTTATTACCAAAAAAGGGGATAATAAGTGAGAAATGTATTTCAAAAAAACACACAGGGAACGAATTTTATAGATACTATTATAGAAGACCAAAAGTGTTCCTACAACATTTCCAATGCACGGTTATGTTAAGAGACATAAGCAGTCAACATTGGTCTCTGGTTTTCATGAAATGGTATCATAAGTTTTAATTTATAGTTACGATAATTTTTCAAAAGTTTAAAGGTATTGGTAACGGTATTTGTTAACGACCGAAATCTTTAACGCCTGGAGTGAGGCACGTACTTGTCCAACTTTTTGTTAAAAAAGTTGTTGAGAAAGCCTGGAGAAAAATTATTCCTGCCACTCGTAACAATTTTTGAAAGACTGTGTAGAAGATCCACAATAACAGTAAAAATTCACCAGAGTTTTTAAAATTCAGAAAACTCATAACAATTATATTATCTAATTCCACAAAATGTACTCAGGTAGATACGACTACTTAACAACGGTCAGAAACCTAGTTTGTACGACATTGTTGTTTAAAGAATGGCTTCAATTTAGATTATTTACATGTCTTTTTCTAAACAACTAATACTACCTTTAATATACAAAATAGAGGAGTTCAGTTTCCTAACATTTTATCTAAAAATCCCGCAACATTTTCTGAGTATATTATTTCGGGACGAAGGGAAGCGAAATATTAGCATCCACAAGAAAATTTGTTACAAATATAAATAGGACACCAACTAACTAGGCGCCTACAATGACAAGGTCAAAAACAAAAAACAAAACTATGAAAATTAGATGTTACATGTTGAAAGAAATAAATTTGGCCAGAAATTTGGGTCAGTTTGTCAACATAATCCAAATGCCTTCACTCAACTGTTTACAAACGAAAGTATGCGTATTTTCTTACCTTGTTTTTAAGTCAGATTAGATCTTCAACTTCTCTCGGCTAAGTCATTTTCGAGTTAATGAAGTCAAAGTTCGAAATTGATAAAACGATTACCCGAGAAAAAGAAGATTCCGAACATTTTAAAGACAAAGAAAAAGGCAAAAGTTTCCAGTAATCAGCGATAGCACATCGTGGAAAGTGGAAATGACTAAATCGCCGCAAAACTTCCGGAAACCATTTACCACCACCATCAGGAACGGTGATGCGTTATTTCGAAACGTGTTGAAGGAACAACCGCGGTGAAATGAATTCAAAATCGAAACTCTCGCGTCGCGGTATAACTTTGAAAATGTTCAACAGGACGCAAGCGTCGTGGCGGACGTCGGATGGTTCTTCTTCTTTCGCGTCGCTTGTTGCATAAAAATTTGAAGATACGAAGCAAACCTACCGTCCAACAAAGCGAACGGATCTCGACAAGAATTGATTTACGGTCCCTTGAATATTATATTTTACATCATAACGATAAATAAGTTCTCATTCTAAAAGGACAACATAGTTTTCCAATCCTATTGGGTTTTATCAACTTCTTGTGAATATTTCTTACTGTGAATTCATCATCATAAAGTAATCAGTCCTAAGACTGGTTGGACACGCACTTCCACTCTTTCCTATCCTGAGCTAATCCTTCGCATTTCCCTAAAACTAGAACAACCCACATCCTTAACTATTTGCGAACAGTAATCTAATCTAGGTCTACCTCTACCCCTCCTAACTCCTGTTTCTGCCTCTAATATGTCTCTGACTAGACCTTCATGCCTGAAAAGGCGTCCTACCAACCTATCTCGCCTATTTTTTATTGACTTCCATAGAGTCCTCTGTTCTCCTATTATTTCCAATACCTCTTCATTTCTAACCTTTTCTACCCACGATACCTTCATCATCCGCCTATAACACCACATTTCGAACGCTTCTTACCTTTTCTTTTCCGCCGCGCCCACTGTCTATGTTTCGCACCCGTACAACGCCGTGCTCCAAACATTTACCTTTAACAACCTTTTTCGAATTTATAAATTAACCGTTCGCGAGTGCAAGTGACTTCTTTTTATTAAAGGCGACACAACCCTGCGCTATCCCCTGCCTTATATAATTCTAATTGTTTTACCCTATAATATAATCAGTGCATCCCCTCCATTCATTCAATTTATTTATATTATATTTATGTATATATTAGTTAAGAACATAAAACTGTTCGCTTTGAATACAATGTATTAATAATAAATTATTTTTCTGTAGGTAAGAACAATGGAAATTATAATAAATTACTACTCCATATGAAATATAAACGCAAACATTTATATAGTTTACCTACATTTTCATTCAGCATTAAACAAATTTGTTGATGTTTTTTCTTATAGGTGCATAGATTCCATAAAGTATCATACGGTGTTGCTAAATAAAAATAGTTTAAAAATGTATAGATATTTATATCAGTAATAAATACAAACATTCACATATTTCATCTATACTGATAGAAAAAGTTGGTTCTGGTCTTGTGGTCATAGTCTTAGGCTTGCATTTTCTAAAGACCAATACTAAAATGAAGGCCGAATGTGGAAGACCAGAATATATTACCTGCAAGTTATGCGCAATTTGCGCGAAGCAATTCACTAGAAACGTTTGTGGAAGAACAAAACTTGGCTTTTGCATCATCATCAACATCACCCTGCTCACAGATCGTTGCTTGTGCGTGAATTTTCAGCAGAAAACAACACACTAATAGTGCCGCAACCACCGTATTCCCCAGATCTGGCCCCGTGTGACTTTTTCTTGTTCACTGAAGAGGCCCATGAAAAGCCGACGCTACGCGACTATTGAGGAGATAAAGACGGGATTCAAGGAGAAGATGAACAAGATTGCAAAAAATTATTTTTTGAAATGCTTCGAGGATTGGAAAAAACGTTAGAACAAATCTATAATATCTACCCCATAGGGGGTGGGTGGGATCGAAAAAGGAGGTCTCCCCCACCACTGTACCATAAAAAGTTGGTGGCAGTCTCACGCCCATAAAAAATTATGGGGGTTAGATTGGGGTGGGGGTAGGGGGGGATCGAAAGAGGGTGGTCGCCTGAAATTCGCGATACTTTTTGAACAGACCTAGTAATCTTGCAATAATTTGGATATATTAACTTTGTACTAGAGGCCTAAATGTAAAAGTTTGAATAATTTTTTAACAATATTATTAAACAGTGCGTCAAAAGGATGGATCTTGAAAGCCAATTTACTCAATTTTGAAAGTGTTAGTTTCACGTAAGAGTAAGAATCGACCGCTTTGAAGAACTTTATTAGAACACCCTGTAGCTGGTGCATATGAAAATTGAAAATTATAAAATTAGCAACAATTAACCATTTATGTATATTTAATTAAGCATCACATATATAACAAACATGATAAATAATTGTTATCAGCGTTTTAGACACGCCATTTATTTGTTTCGACCACGTTACCGATAAAACCCAAATAACTAACTTCTTACCATCAGTAGCACGTACAAAAAATTTGAATAGGCACAAATACTTTACATCTACACGTTAGGTATGCGACGACGTTATTTTGTTTTACTGATTGGGTCAACAAGTGCAATATTGTTTCTTCTAACCACAGTCAATCAAAACGGTAAAAATTACGATGGTGAAAGTAGAAGTTCAATTAGTGTAAGCGAAAAAATCGAAGTGTATAGTTCAATTGACAATTTAATTGACTGTAGCGACAAAAAATTGGATTTTTTCATTGAGCAGCGTGGTGAATTTTTCATATTTTACAATTACGTTGTGGCAAAAAGGCAGTTTAGATGCCATGAAGCTGTCACATATACAACACAAGGGGATGTTACATTTCTGGACAACCTGATACCGCTCGTAGAAAGATGGAACGGTCCCATCAGTGTGTCTATTTACTCTCCCGGAGACGATTTTAAATTGGTCATTGACAGCGTAGCGTATCTCCGAAACTGTGGCAAAAGTTCGATTAAGATTAAGGAATTAGTAAGCTTTCATCTATTCTTCGAAGCGAAGTTCACCACAAAGGTATTTATCTCATTCGCGTTATTTTGAATTGATGTTAGTGCAATTTTAGGTAAAGGTCCAGATGATGCCCCCCACCCCTTTCGGGGGTGGAGGTGGGAGGGATCGGAGGAGGAGGAGGTCTTCCCCACCACTGTATCATAAAAAGTTAGTGGTGGTCTCACCCCCATAAAAAGTTATGGGGGTTCAAAGTTACTAAATATGCCAATTTTTATACATTTCTAGGCATGTAAATATTTATATAGTCATTCTTAAACAATATTCAAAGGTAAAACTAATGAAAAATACATAAAAATATTGAGAAAGTTATATAAAACATTATTTAAATATCTTTATCAATAGGGTAGGTTAGGTTAGGTTATCGGGTTTTGTTCAAGTGACCACCCTCTTTCGATCCCCCACCTCCACCTGCTTGAAAATAATTTTTTTATTGAATTTTATTTGAATTATAGTGTATGAAAACTGTCAAAATAATCAACTTTCAACCCCCATAACTTTTTATGGGGGTGAGACCGCCGAAATTTTTTTATGGGGTTTTACTCAGATGATCACCCTCTTTCGATCCCCCTTACCATCATCTAACCCCCATAACTTTTTATGGTACAGTGGGGGGGACCTCCTCTTTCGATCCCAGCCACCCCTACCCCCTTCGGGGGTGAGGGCCACCATCTAGACCTTTACCCAATTTTAACATAAAGAAAATCGCCTTGCAATCCGAAGTACAATTTTTTAAGGTATTCAACGAATCTTTAGCAAACAACACCAAAATCTACAAGGACGAAGTCAACTGTAGCAAAAACCCACCGTACTCCACTGTTAAGCATAAGGATTTGTTTAAAACCAAGAACAATCTGTTGTACCCTATAAATTTAGCAAGAAATTCAGCCAGGACTGCAGCCCAGACATATTTCGTATTAGCGTCCGACATGGAATTGTATCCTACTCCAAATTTTAGTTCAAAATTTATAGAAATGGTTTCTAAAAATGAACAGCTGGTTACAGGAAAACAAAGACAAGTAAACCTGAAACTTTCATCCGACTAAAGTTTTATGTAGATATGTATGTAAACCCATTAAATTTTTAGGTATTTGTTCTGCCAATTTTCGAGGTAACAAAAGATTCATCTATTCCTGAAAACAAAACCGTTTTGAAAGGCATGATCAACACAAAGCAGGCGTTCATATTCCACGAGAAATTATGCAGGTATTGCCACATTGTTCCTGGTTATAATGAGTGGATAAAAGATAACGGATCGTCCGATTTAAATGTCTTTACAATAGCAAAGAGAAACAAGAAGTATAGATTTTGGGAACCGTTTTTTGTAGGAACGAACAAAGATCCTCTGTTTGATGAAAGATTGACTTGGGAAGGTCAAAGCAACAAAATGACACAGGTATCCATTTTATTATTCAATTAATGTCTCGGAATTGTGTGAAACTGTCTATGGCGTGCTGATGAGATCTAATAAGTTCGAAGAGCTTTTACCGTGTGTTTGACTTATTTATGCTTTTCTTTTATAGAATTACATTCAGTGCGTTTTGGACTACGATTATTTGATCCTTAACAATGCATTCCTTGTTCATCGTCCTGGCATCAAGAAAGCAAAAGAACAATTGAAACAATTTATCGGACAAATTATAAAAACCAACAAATTTCTTAAGAACGAAATAAAACACGAGCTGACCCTTCTATACGGAAATAGAACTGGATGTGAACTTTGACCTTATGTAACAAATTAATCTATTGATTGATTGATACAAATGAATGATCGGCAAAATAAGTGAACGGTTTGCAAACCTATCGAGAAAGAAGATGATGCGCAAGTTAAAAAAAGAATGAGATTTGAAGTTTCTTTGATGATTGAAAACGATCTATAAAGCACCTGTTTCAATTTTGTATTACACACAATAAATAATAAATCAGAAATGAGTTTTAAACTATCAGTAAACAAAAAAAAAAAACAATCAATTTAACGAACAAATTCCAACTTTTTTACAAAATTCTTATCACTTCTGTTTTAGTTAATTAAATGTAAAGTTGAAGCTTACAATTTGATAATAAAATAAGTAAAGTACCCAACAAAACTTTTACACAATTAATAATCTTATCGCACTGATATCATCTATTTGTTCATATTACTTTACCTTTACTAACATTTTATTTCTTAGAAAACGATTTGAGTACTAACCTATTGTTAACATTATGTACAAAAATAATAGCACCTACGTAATAGCAAAGTCTTCTTATCACAAAAGTAGAAATAAATACGAAAGTTTCGACATTAAAGCCAACTAATTATCAGGTTTCTTTGTTGACAGAGCCTTTATTTAATGTCAAATTTCATTCTGATACCAATATAAATTTGCTATATTCGATTTGTGAATGATATAAACAATATTAGCATATAAGAAAGAGTTAGGACTAAACTGTTCCGATAACTCTTACAAAAATAATATTCGATCTCGCAAAAAAAATCGAGGTCAAGACGTACAGTCGAAAAAGAAAACCAATGTCAAGGTCAAACATGTTAAATAAAGACAATACGAAAACTGTTAGCCTGGTGATGGTCTTGCATTTGTTCATCACCACCAATCATAATCCTACCTTCAAAACCTTAAAATAAGAATATAATACACACATTAATCGCATATTTCTTGAATCAACATACGAGGGCGGTTCAATAAATACCCGTGTTAGATATGAAGACACCTGTTTTTTTATTTTTCAACATAGTCCCCTTTTAGAAAGATACACTTCTCCCAACGACCCTGCCATTTTTTTTACCCCTCCAAAAAATAAGTTTTCAATGGTAAAAGCATTTCTAACTTTTTCTTTGACATCTGCTGATTCCAATGTGTTTTGTAGTTCCCAAAATTACGAGGGCGGTTCAATAAATACCCGTGTTAGACATGAAGACATCTTTTTTTTAAAATTTGTTTTTCTATTTTTCAACATAGTCCCCTTTTAGAAACTCTCCAAAATCCCCCCTGTCTCGGCGATGACTTCCTCGTTTGAGCTAAATTTCTTTCTCACAAGTCATTTCTTCATGGTAGGGAACAAGATGAAGTCGCAGGGAGTCAAATCGAGTGAGTACGGGGTGTGCGGCAGCAAATGCATAACGTAATTCGTGCATTTTGGCGGCAACAACTCCTGATGAATGTGCCGGTGCGTTATCGTGTTGAAAACGCACCTTCTTTTTCGTCAAATGCGTCCGTGTNAATCTATGGTACTAGAAAAGGGTGCTATTTGGGATGAATAATCAAATATTTGGTACAAATTGCATTGTACAATTATATTTTACAAACAGAATCTCCAAGTTTCTCGTATCTGTGTATATATATATATACATTTTGAAAAGACTAAACTAACTCTTAATCCCTTAGTAATTTAAGTTTTATATTCTAAACTAAGTAATAGATGTAACTAAGATGATTTGTTATTTTTGTATTAGTCTGGTATTGATCTTTAATTTGCTTACCACTACCAATCATAATCTTACGTTCAATGTATTAAAATAAGAAATATATTTCTTGAATCAACGTTATTCTGCCTATCTAGATACACAAAATGTTTTCTAAGAAGTGTAAATCAGCCTCCAAAAATATCTATTGATTGAAATATACTTGTCAGCAAGTCCCAAAAAGATATTTCCAGTTCCTCTGAAGCTCGAACCCGTTCTACCTTTATTTCGTTTTAGTGATTCACCCCTCGGTTTCAATTAAACACAAAAGTTCGTATAGGAGCCCCTGTGCTGACAAAGGGACTCCTCCTGTACCGTGTATCTTCCGTCAACACGCGTAATTGCAGTCTTTGTGAAAGCACGGTGAATTACCTTCATGAATAGCGCGGTTACGAATAGTATTTTTAGACCACTCCCGTAAATATTTAAACCGCGCGAAGGTTTTGAGTGGGCTCGCTGGAGCACGCTCATAAAGGAATTCCACCTGAACTATAATGTATCGTCGGGAGCCACAAAAAAATTAAATCCCATCTGAACAGTCATGTACATACGTGCTCATAAAAATGACCTCAATCGTGTATACATCTGAGAAATATAACTCCAAAAACGCCGACAAATATTTTTCTACATTTTGGCCAAGACAGGTCTAATATAAATAATTCACGGAAAATATGTAACTAATTCAAAATCCTAGTTCCCGTGGTCGTAGTTGCCGAACAGGCCCCTCAACAGGACAGCGTTCCAAAATTGGGTTATAATAGTGTTTGGTTACAATAAGGACATGATTGGCAATTTTGATAGTTAATATTTATTTGGAAGACAGAACTGACTACCTTTTTTCCACTCTTCAAAACTGTTTGCGATTGGTATGACAGTATTAGAAGCAGGCAGGGTAAAAGTTAAAACTGAGGAAATGAAGAAGGTCGCTAGGGAAGTCAATAATAAAAAGACAAGAAGGGTGAGGTATATATATATTATATACTATAACCAGAAAGAGAATTACCGTGGGCATAAGTAGATCTTGATCAGGACCGGAATATCCCAGAAATGAGGAAAATTGACTTAAGGTAGGAATGGCTGGAGATGCGTGTCCATAACTAGATGTCAGACTAACCACCCTATGATGCTGATAATAATGACATCAGCGATTTTGCAGTAACAAGAATTCAGGCAAGAAAAGAAGATACACCACATTCTATAAATATCAGACCAGATATGAAAATTGTTTGATTGGTACATAAAACAATAGGTACTTATTAGTTCAACAGATCAATATCGGGATTGGTACAAGAACTAATTCCACAGAATAAAGTGCAAAACCTTGTACCTCTTATCATTCCAAATCTAAAATCTGAATCAATGCCACAACAGATTGCTAAATTAATCCAAATGGCATATTTAAAAACATTTATAGAAACCACTATGAGTTGTTTACAATGCAAACTTAAATCAACGAAAACGATAAGGAACTCAAATCAACTAGAAATGCAATCGAGAAAATCTTATCTTACGTGGCATTTAAAATAAAAGACACCCAAGTGGTTCGATATACAGTGCTCTCTATTACGGTGCGGAGGTGATTACATGTTCAAAAAAAATGTGTAAAATAGCAAAAATTTTCTTCCTAATGGCGTTTGCTCTTTTGTTTTATAATATAGTGAATTTTCTCAGAGTCCCAGGAAGTATCCTAACAAGTACAAGCCAATTCAGGAGAAGGCTGGTATCAGTAGCTGTTAACTGTAAGACAATGTTATTAATTGTAACGGTCCTGATTACATTGTTCCACTTGAAGGGAGTGATCAAACTGACGAAGAAAATGCCATTTTCCATAAAGTTTCTGAATTGACTCGGTGTAAAGATAAGCCGTTGAAAAGAAGCATTGTACAGCGAGGAAATTATTATGTTCTGTATAATTATGTGATGGCCGAAAGAAGTGTCAGGTGTTACGAATCAGTGACGTATTCAACCCAGGGTGATTTAAACTTTCTGGACAACCTGGTTCCCTTGGTAGAACGATGGAAAGGACCTGTAAGCGTTTCAGTGTATGCACCTGGTACAGACTTCCTTTTGGCACTACGAACTATTCAGTACTTAAGAGAATGCACGAGTCCACTCATCAAGGAATACGTTAGTTTTCACCTTTTCTTTGAGACCAAATATACGCCAAAGGTACACGAAATGTTTCGACAAATTTGCATCCATTTAGCACATCGTTTTGAAATAGCCTAACTTCACCTTGTGAAACGTTTGGTTTTGATTCTTGTGTAACAAGTAACGAATAATACCGAAAACGGATTACTTAAATTATAAATTTGATAAATAGTAGAAATTGAGTGCACATCTTAATTATGTTGATACTAATTTTGGCAACAATTTTTCCCTCATTAATTTGGGGTAGCGTGTAGTGCGTAAAAAATTGAAAAATGAAATTTCACATTAATATTTCAGCGTACATTTGTCTAGTAAATGATAATTAAGGCACTATTAATTTTGTTTCCAGCTTGCTTTTAATCCTCTACTACCTGACGATAATATGCAACAACAGGAATATATTAGGTGTGAGATGAAACCACCTTACCAAATAGTCAATCGCGATCAACAATTCAAAACAAAAAACAATCTACTATATCCTATAAATGTAGCAAGAAATACTGCAAGAGTGGCTGCCCAAACCCATTTTATCTTGTCATCAGATATAGAGCTCTATCCTTCGCCAAATTTCATACCAAAATTTTTAGAACTGATTGCCAAAAGTGAAGAACTTTTACAAGATTATAAACCACAGGTTTGTTTGATCATTCAATTTAGAAAAAGGAATTCATTATTGACCTTCTCTCTCAGTCACGAAAACTTTGTTGTGCAACCAATATCTTATTCAGATTCTTGGTATACTATGAGGACCAGGTCTTCCTTAAGGATTTAGTAATTAATTGTAGCAACATTATGAAAAAGGTTAGCATCAGTGCGGTAGAATATTTTACTGTTGTGCTTCACTGCTTAGAATGGTATTGGACATAGTTCAAAGTCTTCCTCCTTCAAGGACTAACGACAGAATAGTGTAAAACAGATCATCATCCATTCTATCTTCTTATTTACACAGTTTTCTTCTATAATCCTTTGCCTATCAAGAGTTATACTGTCTTTCAGGTGTTTGTACTTCCTCACTTCGAGGTGGATGAAGACAACGAAGTTCCAATGGATAAAACGACCCTTGTCAAAATGGTAGAGAATAAATCAGCAGTTTTCTTCCATGAACATCTTTGCAGAAGGTGCCACATGATTCCTTATTACAACCGCTGGCTGCGTACCCCAGAATCGGACAAGATCGACGTTTTTGGAAAGACCAAAAGATTTGGATTACGAAAATCGTGGGAGCCCTTTTATGTTGGAACCAATGATGACCCACTATTCGACGAAAGGCTTTCGTGGGAGGGTCAGAAAAATAAAATGACACAGGTACAACTTACAAAGTCATACATTAACCACAGGTTATTCTTTAAATCCCTAAAAAAATATTAGTACTGTTGTATTTGCTATTGAGCACGACTGGCACAGGTAAAAATTTATGAATGTCTAACCAACAAGTCAGATATCCCATTAAATTTGGGATAGGAACTAAGTACAACTATGAAGGCAACAGGGATCAACATTTGTCACATGTAGGTCACCTAACATACAGTGTCGTGTGTAATAGGTAACCCAACATAGTGACAAACAAGACTAGACGTCACATTCTGGATCTTTCTCGAACAAGACAGTCCCTACAAATAGTAGCAGAGAGATCGGAACAGTAGCGAGCGGCATGGCCTAGAGGTTTAGACCACTGCTTAGCATTCGGGAGGACGTCAGTTCGATTCCGGGTCCGTCTGCCTTGGTCCAAGTTTTTCTGTGGTTTCCTTGGATCACTTAGGTAAATGCTTGGGCAGTAATATTCCACAGATAGAGTCTTTCATTCTCTTCTGTCTTCATTTCGTCCGTCTCATCTTTCTCACCTGAACTACCACCCAACCATTCTCACGATTCCTGAAGGGAGGCTGAAGAGGGCCTTTCGCCCTACATTCCGGTGTAGTCCGGAGGGACTGCCCGCCCACCAACATTAGTGACCGGTGGGAACGAAACAACCAAAAGTTTATTTAAAAGGTTTTCGGAGCAGTAGTACGAGTTCGAGGTACGAGGCTATACAAGACGAAGTAGAAAGAGCGAAGATGCGACAAAGTGTGCGATACAGTGATTAATTATCAATGGCTAATTAATAATAATAATGTTAAGTAAAAAGTAAACAGTTAAACAAATTAGTCAGTAGTCAGAAAGGTGTTTAATTATGTGTCAAAAACGCCAAGCTTCCCCAATAAAGAATAGTCTTTGAATTGAGAAGGATTTGGACATGGATTTTTCTCCAATGTATTAGGAATTACATTCGGAATTACTATCCATAATCTAGCAGAACAACAGATTTCTCTTTTGCAAAATTTGACTCATAAAACTTTTCTTGAGTTTTATACACCGGGGCAGTCTCTATGATTAACTTAATTTTTTAATAAGTAGTTGAATAAGTCTTGGAATCGGAAAGTCCTCGGATACTATTTAATAACAATCATGCCCTCACAAGATTTCTTTTATTTTCAGAACTATATTCTTTGTATACTGGATTACACCTACATAATACTGGACAACGCATTCCTGGTTCACAAACCGGGGATAAAAAAGGCGAAAGTACAAATGAACAAATATATGGAAATTGTTAACGAAACGTCTGTGCTGGTAAAAAAAACCATTAAACCAGAAATTGATTCAATCTATGGTACTAGAAAAGGGTGCTATTTGGGATGAATAATCAAATATTTGGTACAAATTGCATTGTACAATTATATTTTTCTCGTATCTGTGTATATATATATATACATTTTGAAAAGACTAAACTAACTCTTAATCCCTTAGTAATTTAAGTTTTATATTCTAAACTAAGTAATAGATGTAACTAAGATGATTTGTTATTTTTGTATTAGTCTGGTATTGATCTTTAATTTGCTTACCACTACCAATCATAATCTTACGTTCAATGTATTAAAATAAGAAATATATTTCTTGAATCAACGTTATTCTGCCTATCTAGATACACAAAATGTTTTCTAAGAAGTGTAAATCAGCCTCCAAAAATATCTATTGATTGAAATATACTTGTCCGCAAGTCCCAAAAAGATATTTTCCAGTTCCTCTGAAGCTTGAACCCGTTCTACCCTTATTTCGTTTTAGTGATTCACCCCTCGGTTTCAATTAAACACAAAAGTTCGTATAGGAGCCCTGTGCTGACAAAGGGACTCCTCCTGTACCGTGTATCTTCCGTCAACACGCGTAATTGCAGTCTTTGTGAAAGCACGGTGAATTACCTTCATGAATAGCGCGGTTACGAATAGTATTTTTAGACCAGTCCCGTAAATATTTAAATCGCGCGCGGGTTTTGAGTGGGCTCGCTGGAGCACGCTCATAAAGGAATTCCACCTAAACCATAATGTACCGCAGGAAGTCGCACAAAAATTAAATCTCTTGTAAACAGTCACGTACATGCTCAAAAAAATGATCTCAATGTACACGCGAGATGAGCCGGTACCACGTAAGATAACTACGAAAATGCCAACAATTTTTTGTCCACATTTTTATCAAAACAGATTTAAGTAATATGAGTATCTAATTCTCGGAAAATACATATGTAACTAATTTAAAATCGCAACCCAAGTGGTTGCAGTCGAACGAACAGGACCGTCTTCAGGATAATATTCCAAAATTTGGTTTAAGATTTGCGGACAATATAGCAATACAAGCATTTGGTAAAGAGCAGTTAGAAACAGCCCAAAACAAAAGGGAACATTATTTTCAGAAGAGTATGGAATGAAAAGTGAGCACGGTGGGAAAGAAAAATTAAGTAGTGCCTGAAATGTGCCCTTATGAGCGAATGATGAAAATGGAAGGAGATAGGATAGACTAAGGCTAAGACATGAAGAACGAGTCGTAGCAAATATTTCCGAGAATAGAGAAAATTGGCTTAAGATATAAAGGACTGGAGGTGCATGACCAACCAGTTTTTAGACTGACGACCGACCCTATGATGATGACGGTGAGGATGATGATAATATCTGAAGCAATTTATTTAACAAATATTCCACACTTCAACTTTTGACGCCTGTTTTCCGGGAGAAGTGACAGTAATAGGAATTTGGGCAAAAAAAAAATAGATACACCACATTCTGTAAACACCACACCAGATATGAAAATCGCTTGATTGGTGGTTACACGCAGCAACAGAACTAATTCCATCAAATAAAGTGGAAAACCTTGTATCTGGTATTATTCCAATCTAAAATCTGAATCAACGTCAACGATAAAGAGTCGAATGAATTACACGGCGCGTGGAGCGTGGATCGGTATTTTACTTGTTCGTGAAAAAAAGCCAAAGAAGGACGCTACTGTTCGCTCCAGGTCTCATCAAACCCGTTGTCGACGCGCCGTGTAAATCCCATGTTACACGGCGCGTGGATTGCCAATCGCTCCATGTAACGGGTTGAGCATGGACACCCGAGCAGAGCGTGGATCGACGCTCCACGTGCCCTGTAACATGACCTTAACGAAGCAATTGAAAAATCTTATCTTACGTGGTACTTAAAACAAAATACACTCAAACGGTTTAAATCACAGTAATCTCTGTTAACTGTGCAGTTGTGATTGCATGTTCCAAAAAATCATGCTTAAAACAGCGAACGTGTTCTTCCTGGTGGCGATTATTTTATTAGTTTATAATATATTGAACTTTTTCGGTACCCCAGAAAGTATCCTAACAAGTACAAACCAATTCAGGAGGAGACTGGTATCAGTAGAAGTTAATCGCAAGAGTATACATGAACAAGATGCTGCAAACAATACAATTGATTACGTTGTTCCTGTCGAAGAAGGCGATCAAACTGAAGAAAAGAGTGCCATTTTCCACAACGTTTCAAAATCGACTCAGTGTATAGACAAGCCGTTGAAGAAAAACATTGAGCAGCGAGGAAATTATTATGTTCTGTATAATTATGTGATGGCCGAAAGAAGTGTCAGGTGTTACGAATCAGTGACGTATTCAACCCAGGGTGATTTAAACTTTCTGGACAATCTGGTTCCCTTGGTAGAACGATGGAAAGGACCTGTAAGCGTTTCAGTGTACGCACCTGGTACAGACTTCCTTTTGGCACTGCGAACTATTCTGTACTTAAGAGAATGCACGAGTCCACTCATCAAGGAATATGTCAGTTTTCACCTATTCTTTGAGGCCAAATATACTCCAAAGGTACAACAGATTTGGTTTTATATAGCACATCCTGCTAAAATAATCTACCCTAAAGGAATCAGTTCTGATTCACTAAATAATCGTTGTGAGTTTAGACAAATCTCTGTCTTTTAAGGAACCAATCTATCTAATATAATAATTTATTGTAGAGCACATTTGTCAAGCAAGTATTGCTAATTCCATTTACAGATTAATTCAACCCCCCTACTCGGCAACAACATCATGGAGCAACAGAAATATATTACGTGTAAAATGACACCACCGCACCAAATAGTCAGCCGTGATCAACAATTCAGAACAAAAAACAATCTGCTGTATCCTATAAACGTAGCCAGAAATACTGCCAGACTGGCTGCTCAAACTCACTTTATCTTATCATCGGATATGGAGCTGTATCCTTCACCAAATTTCATTCCAAAATTTTTAGAAATGATTGCCAAAAATGAAGAACTTCTGCAAAGTGACGAGCCACAGGTTTGTTTAATCATTCAATATTGGAAACGGAATTCATTAATGAACCTCTTTCTTAGTTCGCGAAATTGTATTCATGAAACTACTCCATAAGCTGCAATCACTGTCTTTTTGAGATTCCTACATAATACAACATGAAAACCTGGTCTTCCTTCCATCCCGTAATATTATATATAGGGTTGTTCGGAAAGTCATTTGGTTTTTTTTTTGTGGAAATGAAAGACAGTTTTCGTATAATAAATAAATACTTTACTAAATTATATATTGACCGTTCTGGTCCAATACCTTTTGCCATCTTTCTGGTAGTAGCATAATTCCACGCTCATAAAATTTTTGGTCTTTGCTGGCAGAAAACTGATCGAGGAGGTTTTTGACCTCCTCATTTGAGGTGAAGGTTTTACCGTCTAAAAAATTTTGGAGTGACCGGAACAAATAATAATGCGATGGTGCCAGGTCTGGAGAATATGGTGGGTGTAGCATTGTATCCCATTCAAGCTGTAAAAGCTTTTGGCGAGTGACCAAACTTGTGTGAGGTCTCGCGTTGTCTTGGTGAAACACTACACCTTTCCTGTTGATTAGTTCTGACCTTTTCTGTTGAAGTGCATCATTCAGTTTGTCCAGCTGATGACAGTAGACTTCCGAATTAATCGTTGTGTTATCCGGTAAAAGCTCAAAAAAAACGATTCCTTTAAAATCCCACCAAACAGACAGCATCACCTTTTTTTGGTGAATATCGGCTTTGGAAATGGTTTGAGCCGGTTCATCTTTTTTGCTCCATGACCTCTTGCGTTTGACGTTGTTGTATACAACCCATTTTTCGTCCCCAGTGATGATGCGCTTCAAAAACGGATCATTTTCGTGACGTTTGAGAAGCGAATCGCAGACGTCAATGCGGCGACACAGATTTCTCTCTGTGAGAACATGGGGAACCCATACATCGAGCTTCGAGGATAATCCCAGGCCTTTCAAGTGGTCATAAACTGTTGAATTTGATAAATTTAACCTCAATCCGATCTCACGTGTTGTTATTCGCCGGTTCACATCAACTAATGCCTTTATCGCGTCTTTATCAGCTTCAACCGGCCTTCCCGAACGTGGTGCATCTTCGACATCAAAATTGCCGGATCGAAATTTAGCGAACCAGTTCTGGCACTGGCGTACTGTCAACACACCTTCTCCATACACATCAGTCAATTTCTTTCTGGCTTGAACAGCATTTTTACCCTTTCTGTAGTAAAACAGTAAGATATGTCGAAAATGCTGCTTATCGCTCTCCATATTTAAAAGGGCACCAACCAAAAACTACTGCGTAGAATTAATTGGAATTTTTCACACACAAGCCTTGCTATATGAGCTCTCAAAGCATATAAAAATTATACGGCTTAAATGTGAAGTTGCGTGCAAAAGAATACAATTAAATCCTCTGTCGGGAAAAAACGAAATGACTTTCCGAACAACCCGATAATAAAAATTAGCACCATTGCGATAGAATATTTTACTGTATTGTTTCATCTCTTAGAAAGGTACGAAATGACCCCTACTCAGTTCAAAGACTTCCCCATTCAAGAACTGAAACCAGTAATGGTAAAACAGCTTGTCCTCCATTCCATCATCTCTTTATTTTTGCGTTGTTAGGGGGAACTCCCGATAAATCCAATTGTCTTCTATAATCCACAGTTTACCTAGAGTCATACTGTCTTTTAGGTGTTTGTACTTCCTCACTTCGAGGTGGAAGAAGGCTACGATGTTCCAATGGATAAAACGACACTTGTCGAAATGGTGCAGAATAGATCGGCAATTTTCTTCCACGAACATCTTTGCAGAAGGTGCCACATGGTGCCTTATAGCTACCGCTGGTTGAACACCCCAGAAACCGACACGCTCAACGTTTTTGGAAAGACCAAAAGGGTTGGATTTCAAAAATCGTGGGAGCCCTTTTATGTTGGAACCAATGATGACCCACTGTTCGACGAAAGACTTACATGGGAAGGTCAGAAAAATAAAATGACACAGGTACAACTTACAAAGCCATAAAATATCTACGTATTCACGTCTTATAGATCCCTAAAACAATAACCAGGTATCCTACTGAAATTGAGAAATGAACTTAAACTTTGAAAGCAGCGTAGAAAAATACACTAAAATGTCAAACTGCCCTAATACAGTCTCCCTATGTCATTAATTAGAAAATAATCCCTTTTGTACAATTTAATCATGAAGCATAAGAATAGACTCTGAATTGGGTAGAATTTGATTTCCCTAGACTTGCTAGTTATTTATCTCTCACTTTTTGGGTATGGATTTTCTGCAATGTATTAGGAATCATCTTTAAAATCACTATCCATAATCTAGCAGAACATGCTATCCAAAAATGTTCCTTTTATTTTCAGAACTATATTCTTTGTCTACTGGATTACACTTACTTAATACTGGACAACGCATTCCTAGTCCATAGACCGGGGATAAAAAAGGCAAAGGTACAAATGAACGAATATGCGGAAATTGTCAACGAAACATCTTTTTTCGTAAAACAAACCATTAAACCAGAAATTAATTCACTGTATGGTACTAGACCAGGATGCGATTTGAAGTGAATAATCCCCACAAGTATAACGCAGTATTGTTTAATTAGATAATTATATTTTGCAAACAGAATCTCCCAAGTTGCCTATATCTGTATGTTTATACTAAACTAACTGTAAGACCTTAACCAATCTAGATATTATACATTGTAAATGAAATAACTTGCAGATATGCCTATTATACTACATTAGGTAAAAATATAATATTGTTTTTAAAGCTTTTGTATTGTTGTTATACTTATGAGTTCTTATAGTGCAAACCGCTTGAAAACTTTATTGTTTCATTCCCAACAACTGATGCTAGTGTGCGAGCTGTTCCACCCTTTCATCAGTTTCCTTTAAGAGCGTTAAAATTCTAGAATTTTAATTAAAATACAACATCCTGGTAGTAGGTTTAAAACGCATTTTCAACTTTTAATTAGACGTTTTAATAGTCAGCTAATTCTACGTAAAATGTCGTATCATGAGAGAAAAGGTTAGATGTTTTCGAAATGTGGTGTTACAGGCGAATCATAATGGCGCAATGAAAGCTAATAATAAATAGACTGATAGGGCACCCCAGGAATGTAGGGCTGGTGGGAATTGGAACGAGTGAAGGTACGTATCCAATCAGTATTAGAACTGACGATTTTTTGATGATGGTATTGATATATCACCAGAGGAGGTAGCCGCACCGGTTTCCATTATGAATATACCTGGTCTAGTACATTATACTTCGTTTAGTTTCTGTAGCGATGTGACTTTCAGTTTGACCGGCGCAAAGTAGAAAAGAACAGCACTAGGCCAGAAAAAGAAGGAGACAACTCTCGGCCAAACTCTTAACCGGCGAGGAGCGTATAGTCCGTACAGTACTGCACGGAAAAATTGACCATTTTATCTACTACAATTGCATTGCTCAAATGTGCTGTTATTGGTACCATTTACTACTGAAAATATCAACGAGATGTTTATTTGCATTTGAAGACATATTTAAGGCTTTAACGCTTGTTTTCGACTCGCACTACTATTCATGATTGAACCAAACTTTTTGCAGGTACTGTATGAAAAAGTATGTTTAATGAACAAGAGTCGAGAGTATAATGAGCTTTTTTCTCCCTACCTACGATTTTGCCAGCGCGCATCCAAGACATTGGAAGGGGCACATCGTTAGTGAAAGGAAATCAAGTGTAGCTTAACCATTTAGACATTATGTACTGAGTGAAATTTATAGAAATTATATAGACGCGTTGTCTTGGCTCGCATTTTCTGAGTGGATATGATGATGAGTTACAAAGTAAAGACAAATAATTTACATTACAGAAATACCAGAAAAATGTACACGACCTCCACTTCGTCCTATCTTGAGATGATCTCTGCATTTCATGAGAACTCTAACTGTTTGCGAACAGTAATATAATAACAAAATTAATTCTTTTTTCCGCTGTTTTATTTTATATTTTTCGAATGGCTTTACATATGTATCTTATGTTGCACAATGGGTTGCTTCAAGTTTTGGGCACTCTCGAATGGAAATAGTATTTGGAATTTGTGTGAAGAGACTGCAGTTTGGAAGGAAGCTTGCTGGTTGTCTTATATGGTGACCTTTGCATCCATTCTGACTGATAACTACCCCTATCTAACGAAGCCAAGCGAAACATGATTGAACCTTCCCTTGTAGGGATTTGTGTTATTCCAGGAAACTGACTTACTCCATTCGGATCTACAAATTGTCGATGATACTCTTCATTTTCAAAGTATCCTTCGTCCGCCTCAGCCACTTCTTCTTCCGCTTCTTCTTCGCCCTCTGTTGCATCCCCACCGGATATATGGCGCGAAAAGTGGTTGGACCAGTTGAAAAATTTGGCAGAGATTACCTTGCGTGTATTGTAAATGCCACTGGTAATATTCTTTGACGAAAGAAGGCGAGTTCCCGTTACTAAATGACTTGGAAGCATGATTATGAGATGATTCTTTAAGATTGATGACACCAATGATTTTGTGATTGACTTGTGTGACACAAAAGCAAAACCTACTTGGATACATTACGAAGAAAATGAATCGGACGTCGATATTTTCGTCGCAAAATGCAAAACATGATATATCTTCAATAAGGATTCAAACACAGTATCCCTAATCTACCAATAGATACGAAAATTAATATTTAAAATCCCCATGTTTATGATATCTTTTAAAACTTTTATTGTAGCCCTTTATCAAGTTTATCGTCAGTAATCCAATTAAGCTTTAAAATATATTTTAAATTCGCTATCAGTAAAAAAGATCTACCGCATTAATATGAATAGATAAATGGGCCAGTATCTTATCTTTCCAAGTAAATAAGACCTTTCAAAAATTGCACGGTTTGCAGAATCATTTTTCTAAGTACACCACTACAACATGCTGTGGGTCGCGATTTTGGTGCCTATCCTAATAATACTGCCGGCCGATGGTCAGTTTCCATTGCCAGACTTTGAGAAAACTGAAATTACTGAAAGGCAAGGTGTCGGAAGTTACCGTCTTCCAAACGATGTTATACCAATAAAATACTATCTAACACTGGAACCAGAATTCGACACGTTTGGCTTCGATGGAATAGCTGAAATCAATTTGCAAGTGATCAATGAAACGAACACCATCACTCTCCACAGTGTTGAGCTCACACTTCAAAACCTAACAATAAACTGCGCGAGTCCAGCAGAAGATTATTCAAATTTAACCATTGAGTACAGCTTCTTAGACCTTGCAAGGCAGTTTCTTGTAATCACATTGTCTCGAAATGTCGCGCCCGGTTCGGAGTGTACTTTACTGATACTGTATGAGGGAATTTTGAACCAAGATTCCCATGGATTCTACAGAGCCCAATATACCGACCGAGAAGGTAACGTTAGGTAAGTTTCATTCAGAAAGAAATTTTTGAAACGACACTCCACATCGTGGTTTCATATTTAAATATTCCAGGTGGCTAGCAGTCACCCAATTCGAACCCACGTATGCAAGGGAAGCGTTTCCATGTTTTGATGAGCCAGCATTAAAAGCCGAATTCGAAATAACGATAATAAGGCCGAACAATTACAACTCGCTATCAAATTCTCCCATATATATTTCAATGTAAGAGATGAAAAAAATCTTATTTACGATTTGACCATAAAATATTCATTATTAGGCCCTATATGAACAATAAACGGATGGATCTATTTCGTGTCACCCCCCGAATGTCAACGTATCTTGTTGCATTCGTCGTTTCGGAATTCACAAGTGTTTCTTCAGGGTACCAAGCAGTACATGGCAGACCAGAATTCATAAACGAGAGTAGGGGAGATTTTGCATTGTCAATGGGATTGCAAGTATTACCAGCAATTGAAAATTTCCTAGGAATAGCGTATAATTCTTCATTGGTCAAATTAGACAACGTCGCTATTCCAGATGATTATTTTAGTAATGGAGCCATGGAAAATTGGGGCCTGGTAACTTATAGGTAAAAATAAAACAATCTACCGAAACACCCGAATATTCGATTAATTTTATCGGCAGGGAATCGTCTCTTTTCTCAAAAGAAAATGTTTCAACGTCCGCGGAGAAGCAAGGAATCGGTACCATCATAAGTCACGAATACGGACACAAATGGTTCGGAAACCTAGTTAGTCCCCTATGGTGGAATTACGTGTGGATTAATGAGGGATTTGCGACATATTTACAAAATTATGGGGCGTCCGTAGCGCAACCCTCCTGGAGACTTATGGAAAGGTTCGCACTTTCTACATTACAATCGGCTTTTTCAACCGACCAGCTACAAAACGCACGACCAATGACTTACGATGCGGAAACACCGGATGAAATTAATGCATTATTTGACAGGATTGCATACAATAAAGGTAATAGTTCTGTCAAATTAGGGTGAATTTCGCCACAGAAATCCATGAATATTTGAGGCACTTTAAAAGGTATCATCATCATCATCTTTATAAGCCCTACTATCTCCTATCTAGAGGCAAATTTCGCATTCATTCTGTTCTCCTACTTCTTCTGGTACTTTACAATATATATCTACAGTATTTTTAACACTCTCTTGTACCACCACATTTTCACAACACCCACCGTCCACTTCTCAGACCCTTATGGAACCAAGCTACCCAACCATGCGGTATACTTTACTGTAAAGTAAATTTCTTGAATGCAATTTGCATTATAAGACAGTGGTGCATGATGTATGTTTCTAATAGTTCATACAAATGCTACAACCTCTACCCCTAAATATAGCAATGTCTAGGACCTTAAATTATTTAACAATTCAATGTCCCCATGTGACAACGCAACACAGTTATTTAAAATATATAAATAAATCTACCTGGAACACCTCATTCATAAGATTTCACAAAGTATCAAACGATACTTTTACCAAAATAGTTCAAAAGTATCAGAAATAAGAAAATTAATCTATGAATATTTGAAGTCTTATAATGTACAAAAAAATTGTTACGAGCTCATTCTTATGGGACAGTGGTATGTGTGGTATGTACTAGTTCATATGCTACAACCACTATCTCCAGATGTGACAAAGCTTTTTTTAAAGATCTTAATTCTTCAATTAGCTTTAGCACTATTTTACTAACACCAAATTGTTGTCCAAAATGCGTAGAGATTTTAGATACATCTCAAATGTTATCTACCTTCACAAAATATAGATTCCGAAAACATTATAAAAAGGAACACCTAAGAGTCAGATATTTCATTTTTATACAGCATGCATAAGTTGATAAATTGCGTTCCCAAATAGGGACATTTTCTTCCTTAACAAATGCTTCTTCAGTTAGATCCAGTACCACGTGAAAACCGTTCACGTCAAACCTCTCCAGGAGTTATACTTAATGTTTTACTGCATTGTTTCGTTCCATTGAAAGGTTTTGGATGACCCCTACTTAGTTCAGAGCCTCCCCTTTCAAGGACTAGAAATAACAACAGTAAAATAGAAAATATATCTTTATTTAACTCCAGTATCATATGAAATCCATTCACCAAAAACTTTTTACTGCATTGTTTCGTTCCTTTGAAAGGTTTTGGACGACCCCTACTTAGTTCAGAGCCTCCCCTTTCAAGGACTAGAAATAACAACAGTAAAATAGAAAATATATCTTTATTTAACTCAAGTATCATATGAAAATCATTCACCAGAAACTTCATTACCATTAATTAAATGGGACACTTTTCTGCATTGTTTAGTTCCTTTAAAAGGTTTTGGATTTAGTTTAGAGCCTCCCCTTTCAAGGATTGGAAACAGAACTGGTCAGTCAGGCAGTTCATTTATCGTTGAAAATTATTTTTGTCTGTTAAAGGAAAGGCAAACCTTCTAACTCGAACCGAATCCCTTTTCATGAATTAATGAAGATTTTACTATGTAGTGCTCTGTCCGAGAAAAACGTTCCTCATTGGCAATGCATGAGATAAGATTTCTTCACATTGGAAACAAAGGGAAATTTATTCGCTTTATAAAGTTTCCAAATTAGATATAAAGAATTTAAACTAACCCCACTTAGTTTACAAGACCTAATAAAGTTATAATTGACTACAGTAATTAAAAATGAGTATTCATTTCTTATCATTCTCAGATGAGAGGTGACAGAAGCAATTGTTTTTTTCTGTTCCAGCTGGATCAGTAATAAGAATGGTTGAACATTTTCTGACAACTCCAGTATTTCAAAGAGGTTTAAACAGATTTCTGGTAAATAACTCATTCAGTGCAGCAACCGAGTATGAGCTATGGAGCGCTCTCGACGAAGCTGTGATAGAAGCTGGCATAAATTTAGGTAGGCCATTGGAAGAGATCATGACAACATGGACTCAACAAGCAGGTTTTCCACTTGTGACCATCCTGGTAGCTCCAGTAACAAGAACAGTCACCGTTGCCCAGGTAAATAAGAAATAAGAACATAATAAAATTGTTTCTTTTGTGACTTTCGAAATTGTCGTTTGTACAGGTTTACACTTAATTTAAATACTCAGGTATTTTGCCTTATCTTTATAACCCACTACTCTTTGGTGTTTTATTACTACTCGTGATGAGTTTTCATCAAACAAATTGAGAAACAATTACTGATTATCGTAGCCAATTTCAAATTTCTAATTGTATGTTCATAAAAATTAGATAGTGATCGGTTGAGGCAGACAGATTGACACACTTATTTTTTGTTTTATAATACCAATTTAATACAGACATTTAATAATGCTATATAATCGTTAATCTTTTAGCAAACACAGTGAAATCATCCGAAAATTTAATTAATCTTGCTTAGTTACTTTGTGTTGTAAAAATAAGTTATAAAAAGTCTTACAAATAATCCCATAGACCTCGTGTACCACAAATATGCGATACCATTTTGGATTAAATGAAAATGCAATAAATACCTAGGTACTATCGTATATAAACAATTGATATGCTTTCCATAATATCTTATGCTTCTTTTCTAATAAACTAATAGGCAATTATTTAGATAAAATTAATAATTTCATCATCATCATCATCATCATAAGGTCATCAGTCCTAAGACTGGTTGGACACGTACCTCCACTCTTTCCTATCCTGAGGTAATCTTCGCATTTCCCTAAAACTAGAACAACCCACATCCTTAACTATTTGCGAACAGTAATCTAATCTAGGTCTACCTCTACCCCTCCTAACTCCTGTTTCTGCCTCTAATATGTCTCTGACTAGACCTTCATGCCTAAGAAGGTGTCCTACCAACCTACCTCGCCTATTTTTTATTGACTTCCACAGAGTCCTCTGTTCTCCTATTCTTTCTAATACCTCTTCATTTCTAACCTTTTCTACCCACGATATCCTCATCATCCGCCTATAACACCACATTTCGAACACTTCTAACCTTTTCTTTTCCGCCGCTCCCACTGTCCATGTTTCGTATTAATAATTTAATACAATATTAAACGCTGCATTTAATTTTAATTTCTAACACTGACAAAATTACATAAATTTCACAAACACCATATTTGGTTAAATATTACAATAAAATGCTTCAATTAATAACGAAATTAAACCCCACATTAAGTTATAAAACATTTTATTTGTCAAAATGATCAATTCCTAATTTCAGCTGAAAAAATACTATGGCCAGTATGGCCAATAAAATATTTAGTAGCCACTTGGTGATTAAACAAATAAAAACAATTGCAATTAAATTTAAGCAAAGGCTTTAGTTCGTTTTTGCGTATTATATTACAGATTTTAAATGACGTTCTATTTTGTTTCTTGTGAACCGTGTGTTAAAAGGATCTAAAAATTATTTTCAGGAGCGATTTCTTTTAGATAATGCATCATATGATTCGAATGAAACCTGGATTATCCCATTAAATTTTGTAATATCCAGCAACCCGAACTTTGAAGATACCGCCCCGATACTCTTGCTTAGAGAAAATTCCCAATCAATAACTACTTTTGCCAATGTAAATCCAGGAGAGTGGATAATCGCCAATATACAACAAACTGGTATGTACAGGTATCGACTAATAATTGTTTTACAGTATTTTCTAACACTGTGTTACCCTTTTAGGGTACTATAGGGTTAATTATGACGAAGAAAATTGGGGACTGATAGCAAACTATTTAAACAGAGATAATTTTAACAACATTCATCCATCAAACAGAGCTCAACTAATTGATGACGCTTTAGTTCTTGCAAGAGCAGGGAGACTAAATTATGAAGTGGTCTTTGATTTAATTAGCTATTTAAACAGAGAAACTGACTATGTACCACTCAACAGCTTCATCAATAATCTTGCCTTCCTCGATAGAGTTCTTTCTGCATCTCCGAACATAGCATTATTCAGGGTGAGTTTTCAATTTTTTCATACGTAAATACAGAACACTCAACAACATAATGAATAGAATGTCCAAACAAAAACCCAGATCAAAAAAGAAGAACCCCGTCAATTATTAAGTGACAACAGTAAATTAAACTTGATAGTCTTCCAGTGATTCCTTGGCTGATGGGGACTCAATCAAATGCAGAAAGGAAGAATCAAACGTAATCGACCAATTACTTATATTAAAATATGAAAACGCTTTTGAAATGTTAGGCCAGATCGTCCTTATTGCTGCGGTCACCTTTCGTAGCTTAGCGGTAAAGCAATAGTGTATAGAGAGTTAGATTCCCGGCGAGGACGTGACAACAGCAACAATTTTTCTTTTCATTAATTTAAGATTATCTATCTAAAACAGAAGCGAGCGTGTATTAGTCTACAAGCGTAAAAAGATTGTACACTAAAGTAGTATTTAAAAAATCGGTTGTCTGTAAAGTCGGTTTACTGACGATAGTTGAACGTGACAACGTCATAAGAAAATACTGATGGAATGGTTTCATTTTTCAAAAGAAAATTTTAATTTTATTTGTTTGATAGATATTTTGTATGGATATAGAGAAGGAGGTAAATGGAAATGTATTATTGTATAGCAGCTGTCCACGCGGACGCATCGCTCACTCAAGTAGGAGAGAGACAGATGCCGAACGCTGCCGAACGCGGAGGCCGATTGTCCCTCTTTGTCGCTCGTTCCGCGCTCTCGCTTGAACTTCAAGCCTTAAATGGAACGCCTCAGAGCGAGGTAACGCCGCATGAGTCATGTTTTTTCGTGCGTGCAGCCGGCTCCATCGAATTATAAGACGTTGTCACGTCAAAAAAAAAAAACATTGGCTTAAACTATTGCATCAACAAATTACTAAACACCAGAAAAGTACAACTTTATTTCGAGCGGACGAATGAGGAATATTGGTTTAGTCATACCAAACTGCAGAGAGGAACTTCAAATCACAACAAACAACCACAAACGCATATGCAATACATATACAGCACAGTGTACATAGGCGCGATCAGCTGACAATTTCTCGAAATGGCAATTTTCGGGTTACTAACAGGTTAGCTTCTGATACTTGCTAAAATGACTTCTTTGGACATATCCACCTAGGGTCACACGTGATGCGTGACGCGTGACGTTACATTTTTCCATTTTATACTCCAGCAAATTTGCCGTCGATAAAGGAGTTTCACTTCAACAACAAACAAGATTTTTTTAACAGAACCATTCATTAATTTTCTGATTGATATTTCTACTATTATATTTGTAATTATTAGGAGTTTACAAGAAACCTCCTCCAAGCGGCATTCGACTACCTAACTCCCTACGAATCGAACATCGATGATCACATAGATAGATTAAACAGACAACAAATTTTGACCACTCTTTGTAATCTTAATCACGAAGCCTGCTTACAATCCGCCAGCAATTATTTACGTACTTGGCAACATATTTCACCTGATTTACAATCGGCGGTTTACTGCGGAGGGTTGAGGAACGGTGGAGAAGAAGAATGGAACTATTTGTACAATTTATACACTTCTAGTACAACTGAAAGATTGCAGAGAAATCGTATACTAAATGCTCTCTCTTGTACGGAAAATTCAACTCTCTTGCAAAGGTTTGTTCACTTTTGGAAATAATAAATGTAAATAAAGTAATCCTTTTATTCGTACGTAGGGTCCTTGACATGGCCTTTTCCCAGTCAACAGAATGGAGACTACTTTCCAACGCTGATAGGTTAAGAGCACTAACTGGTCTCTACACTAACAGTGAAAATGGTATTGACATTGCACTTAACATGAACTTTGCCCAGTTATTTGCTAGGTAAGTGAGTAATAACTAGCAGGGTCAAATTAAGAAGGCGAACATTCAATAAACTGTACTTCAAAATGAGGTATTAAGATAGTTCTTTCCTAATCAAGTGGTTTAGGACGGACCTCGTCTTCCAAAACTGACTCAAGTACAAATAATGTTTCCTCTTTTTACAGTTTCAGTACAAGGAATGTTAACACAATTCTAAACGGGCTGTCACTACGACTAACAAGAGGCGATCGTCAAGATTTGGTAAGTTGTAGGTATAGGTACTCTTAAAACTTCTTATTGACTTCCATAGAGTCCTCCGTTCTCCTACTCTTTGTAATACCTTACTACCGAACTAAAATAAGACAGCAATAACATTAAAGTGGCGACTCGGTGACCTACGTAGTTATGTGCGTTTCATTGTTGTTGCTACTGTCACCGCTCGCAGCTTAGTGCTAGAGCAATTGCGTATGAAGCCAAGGGACCTGGGTTCAATTCCCGGCGAGAGCATGACAGTAGCAGCAATTTTTCTTCATTAACTTGAGATATCCGTAGTGGTAAAATTATTCAAAAATTAATTCACTCACGTAAATGGATTGCTATTGACAAAGACTTGGAATGGACAATTTACATAATCTAAAGCATTGTTACTATTATTAATTTCTAGTTCAGACAAATCTTGCAACTCCAAGATTCATCAAGCTGGGATTTACACGGCAACGCCTTTAGAAATTCTCTTAGTAACATAAACCAAACAAACGATTGGATTGCTAACTATCAGGATGCAATTAATAACTGGTTGATTGAAAGGGTAACTCTACCCACCACCAGTTCTCCTACCCCAACAACAACCGTCAGTACTTCTGACACAACTGTTAGTCCTACAACTCCTGCGCCTCCTGACAATGGGTCTATCGACGTTAGGATTATGCCACTTCTGTTACTTTGTACTTTAATTTTATTGTATACATAAAATGAATTTAATAAACCATAAATAATTAATACATATAGATAATATTCTAAAAGGAAATATTTTTTTCTTCAAAAGACACCGGTTAGTTCTGGTGTTCTGGTTACAATTACTAGAAAATAAACTGGTTAGAACAAAATGCTTTCGAGAAGTCATCGGTTCTCTTGGATCATGTAAACACATTCTAGGTGAGTAATATTCCACAAATTACTTGCTTTCGCCTATTATTTGTCTTCATTTCGTCTGTCCATTTGTACAAGGAAGAAAATAACGAATTGTTTTAATGTTTTATCCAGAATCAGTTCTGTTGAGATAGCAAGAAGATTTTGATTGCTGCCAGGAAAATCTATCTACTGACAACGGAAAATTTATCCTTATTGGATTCGACTTGTTCATAAAAAAATCCCATAAGGGTTCCATTTTTCATTTGGACGTATGGAACCCTAGCTTAACATTGTAACTGAAAAAAGATATGTTCTCCCATACATTCAAACTGCAATGTAAATTTGTACAAATTTTAAAACCAATTTTGAATTAACAATGATTGTAACTTTTACAGCAAAAAAACTTTCTTTTATATTTATGATGAACCACGAACTAAGAAAAATTTTATTAATATCTGCAGAGATCTATACTTTCTAAAAGTAAAACAGTGGAACATTGATTTATCTTTCCAGTAAAATCAAACGTTGCTCTCTAGTTCCTCTTCTTGAATTTAATCCAATTTTGTTATACGTTTCAACATTTGCCAGAACAGTTTTGTGAATTCGTTCGCATCGGTAAAAGTTGAAAACAACATTTCCGCAGAAGTCGACTTCGGAATAAAAGCCGACCTGTGGAATGCTTTTAAGGAAGATTTAGGAGAGTCTAGAAATCTTAAACTACGTTCTACACGATAGAATAAGTTACTGTAACAAGGACACAATAAAGTGCGCCTCTCGTCCGTTATTTATCGATGTACTTTCCACTTCCAAGGAACAGCGCAATATCATGAGTGTAGATATGTAAACGGTGATATATATTTCATAATAATAAAACTACTAAAAATAGAACTTTAATGATAAGAATTTTTGTTTATAGGTACCTTTAATTGAAACGAAATACTCAATTATAATCTTCCGTCTTCATATAGGTTAGAGGTTGCCATTTTTTTTGTACTTATATAAAATCTACATTTTATCTTAGAAGTGTGTAGCAATCGACTTGTTGTCGCAGACGTAATCTAAGGGGGAAGAACGCGGTGTCAGAAAACCTCTAGGTCAGCAAGGTATGGGTTGATAGGTAAAATCGATGATCGATCAAAATTGACCTCACGATAGTCCAGTTGATCGCGATCGACATATTAGCCAAGCCTGATATAGGAAATACAGTAGATTGTTCGGTTTCAAGAGCATATCCAAGTGCAAATGTAAATAATTTTATAGAACACTATAATTGTGTTTAAATCACATTCTATATCAAAGAACAAAAACAATTTCCAGGTACACCAGCTTAAATTTATAAGAAAGAACTGATATCTACTAAGTCAAACAAAAATTTTCATATTTGTATTCAAATGGACTGCGATTTGTCACCCTGTCCAAGCCGTATTAGGTTTGATCATTAAACAAAATTAATATTGATTACTTCCATTATTTCATGTGAATTTTAATGATGAAGTGGCAAACTTGGAAAGCGCAGGTGTATCAATTAATCCCACAAACAATCTGCGCAAGGTGTATAGCCTAATAGTAGAACTTAATGTTCCTTATTAATCTAGTGATACTAAACAAAGGCAGAACGAATGCACATTACAATTGCTAGGGTGTACCTAAAACTCATGATGCCCTTTTAAAATAATTGAGAAAATCATAAAATATTCGCGTAAATACTTAAATTGTTCACCTATATCAATATTTTATGTAATACCCAACATGATAATGATTTTCATAAGAATACTTCAACTCCTACCATCTTTTTTTAAATTCTTTTGTAACTACAACTACAACTACATTAGATGCGTAAACCTTCAACATTATAAGCTCAATGGATTGAGAAATAGTTTACTTACCTTTGAAAAACTAAGATAGATAGGAGATAATGAAAATGGCTATTTTTATACAGCATGAAATTTCTTACAGAGAGGACAGAATACGCAAAAGTATTAACAGTTAAATAGTAAAGAGATCTAAATTAAAAGTCTCATGCGCTCTCCTACTTCTTATTTCGACTCACACACATGGGATAATTTGACTGGAATTAAAAGCTCAGTAAAGAATCCAAAATTCACCAAACTGTATCAACCGATTGTAAACGTTTAAAGAGCAGTTTTCTTTGATAATATAATACTTCAATAACTAAAACTCTCCATCAACTTCTGAAAAAAAATATAATGAACTATTAGGTATATTAATTTGTATATTCCTGCTACACGTTTAATACTATTTTATCAATAACTGGAATAAGATACCTAAGCTATGTAGATAAGTGACTGAATGACATAATTAAATGATGTCTTTGATGATATTCAATTTTTTGAAAAAATAATACCACTCCTTTTCTTGTATCCGGTGATCAATTGCATACGTTAATCCATAAATGATAAAAGCAATTATGAATGAAGATATAAGCTTTGATAAGAGCAATAAAACGGTTGTAAAATTAACAACAAACACTTATGATACCTTACATAGGTACTGTTTTAGTTTATTCCACTTTAGCAATGTTTACTTTAGTCTAATATTTACAAGTGGTTTAGGTAAAGCATTTGTGTAATCATTCAAAGGTATAAAGTCAATATTTCAATCGATAAATCCTTTGCAGTTGAAAAACAAGCCTGATTAGTCATTGATGGTTTTCTATTTATAACTATTCGTATATACTGGTGATATATATTTCCCCTATTCTTTAGTTTACAATTATCTTTAATTGACCACATTGAATTGAGCAAATTCAGTCACAGTTCTTAGTTTACTCTATCGTAATAATATTAATATGTAATGTTAATATATATTATTCCAGTTTGATTTTATTCTATTAAAATATCATGATTATCATCATCATATCATCGATAATTCACGAACGATTCTATTTTAACAAACAACTATGTCTATCTAATTGTAGATTGTAGTAGATAACAGCATTCCAATTGAAAAAATCAGACTGCTTAGAATGCTTAAAATTTATAGGTAACCATATCAGCCTCTTAATTTTGTGATAAATGAACTTTGCCTAAAAAAGATTAATATTTATTTCATTTAATTGACTTCAAGTACGTTTTTATCAGATAATATTCCCTTATGTAAACCCCAGTTAAAGCCTTTCTCAATATTCACTAGTGACTAGTCACTTAATGTTATCCAACGCTCTCTGAAGAACGAGGTAATTTTCTTTCTACTATTTGTTTTTTTATAAATTAATTGTCAGTTGTAACAAATATAGGCAAACCTTCTA